CACCCAACTAAGCCATCAAACTTCCTCCAACAAGACCCCCTTCTCCTCCCATCCTCCTCTTCCTCCTCCTCCTCCTCCTCTTCCTCTTCCTCCTCCTCCTTCTCCTCTGCCTCCTCCTCCTTCTTTTTTGCTTTTTGGGTCCCACCCGGCAATGCTCAGGAGTTCCTCCTGGCTCTGCACTCAGGAATCCCTCCTGGCGGTGCTCGGGGGACCCTAGGGGATGCTGGGAATCGAACCCGGGTCGGCCGCGTGCCAGGCCAACGCCCTCCCCGCTTGGCTATCGCTCCAGCCATACTTCCTGTGTTATTTTTAAAGGCTTTTTTTAAACACTGATATTTGTAATGGAGAGATCTGAGGGTACAGCTTGCTTTGGTTGATATCTGACTTATTTACATGCCGTATACATGTATATGCATGTAGACATACACAGCTAGACACACGCATGCACGCACATTCGTATCACATTAGTTCATATCAATTCACATGGAGACATACACATGCCTGCAATTCATATAACGTTAGTACACATCAATATAGAGATAGACACATGGACACACATTCCTGTAACATTAGTACACATCAATCTACACATACACGGATATACACGCACAAGCAATTCATACAACATTAGTACATATCGATATACACGTATACAGATAGACACATGCACACACGTTCATATAACATTAGTACATATCAGTATACAGATAAACAGACACATGCTTGCATATTCATGTAACATTAGTACACGTCAATATACACCTATAAATACAGACACACGCACACTCATATTACATTAGTACATATCATTATGCAGATGTACACATACATATGCATTCATTTACATTAGTACACATCAGTATGCAGATATACACATGCACACCCATTCATGTAACATTAGTTCACATCAATCTACACATACACAGATATACACACACATGCAATTCATATAACATAGTACATATCAACAAAACACATATATAAATAGACACATGCACTCACATTCATGTAACATTGGTACGTATCAATCTATACATATACAGATAGACACGCACATGTAATTCATATAACATTAGTACATATCAATATACACATACAGATAGACACATGCACGCATGTTCATGTATCATTAGTACATATCAGTATACATATAAACAGATAGACACATGCACACCCATTCATGTAACATTAGTTCACATCAATATACACATATACAGATGTGTACACACATGCAATTCATATAACATAGTACATATCAACAAAACACATATACAAATAGACACATGCACTCACATTCATATAACATTGGTACGTATCAATCTATACATATACAGATAGACACGCACATGTAATTCATATAACATTAGTACATATCAATATACACATATACAGATAGACACATGCACGCACGTTCATGTATCATTAGTACATATCAGTATACATATAAACAGATAGACACATGCACGCACGTTCATATAACTTTAGTACATATTAGTATACATATACACGGATAGACACACGCACACCCATTCATGTAACATTAGTTCACATCAATCTACACATATCCAGATATACACACGCATGCAATTCATATAACATAGTACATATCAATCTACAGATATACAGATAGACACATGCACTCACATTCATATAACATGAGTTCACATCAATATACACATATACAGATGTACACACACAAGCAATTCATATAACATAGTACATATCAACAAAACACATGTACAAATAGACACATGCACGCACGTTCATATAACATCAGTACATATCAGTATACATATACACAGATAGACACATGCACACCCATTCATGTAACATTAGTTCACATCAATATAACACACATACAGATGTACACGCACATGCAATTCATATAACATATACATACCAACAAAACACATATACAAATAGACACATGCACTGACATTCATATAACATCAGTACATATCAATCTACACATATACGGGTATACACGCACATGCAATTCATATAACATTAGTACATATCAATATACACATATCCAGATAGACACATGCACGCATATTCATGTAACATTAGTACATGTCAGTATACACCTATGAATACAGACACACACACACTCCTATTGCATTAGTACATATCACCATGCAGACGTACACATGCACACACATTCATTTACGTTAGTACACATCAGTACACAGAGACACACATGCACACCCATTCATATAACATTAGTTCATATCAATACAGACGCATACAGATGTACACCCGCAAACACATTTGTGGGACATTAGAGTCCCTATCAATATGCACCTATACAAGTACATACACGCACATTGGTCTTACACGAGTACATCTCAACCGACATCTCATTTGCCCATATCCATTGCAATGTATATTTCCAATATTTACACAGTTTCTTCTTTATTATGAAAACCAAAGGTGCTGTATTTGCCGGACGCCAGGTGCGGCATCTAAAAACGGTACCTTTGCAAACCACAGCACCCAAAAGGAGAGAGAGAGAGAGAGAGAGAGAGAGAGAGAGAGAGAGAGAGAGAGAGAGCGCAAAAGGGAATGCCCTGCCACAGAGGCAGGGTGGGATGGGGGGATGGGGGGTGGGAGGGATACTGGGATCCGTGGTGGTGGGAAATGGGCACTGGTGGAGGGATGGATGTTTGATCATTGTATATAATTGAAACCCAAGCACAAAAATTTGTAAGTCTACAACTGGACCTCATGGTGTTTCACTAAAATAATAATAATAATAATAATAATAAAATAAAAAAATAAAACCTTTTCTTTGTGTATTCTGCTTATAATAGGCCAGACAGGGTGATGCTCAGGGCTCACCCCTGGCTCTGCCCTTGGGTCCGAGATGCCGGGGACAGAACCCAGGTCAGCCGCCTGCAAGGCCAAGAGTTGTACCTGCTGTCATATCCCTCCAGCCCGAGGAGTGAGAAAAAAAATAATAATAATATTCAGCTGGTCTTGGGACCAGCTCGGCTGTGCTCTGACCTTACTCTTCACTCAGTGCTCAGGAATCATAATCGATGCCAGCTGGGTTGGCCACCTGCAAAGAAAGTACCTTCATCAGTTCTACATTATCTCTGGGGAGACCCCAATGACGTGTTTTTTTTTTTCAGGGGGCGGGGCGGTCTTTGCATAGTCTCAAAAATCAATTTAAGAGGCAGGAGGGGCTGTGAAGGGCTGCCCCGGGTGTGACAATTAAGGAGAAGAAAGGAAAAATTGGGGATTTGCACAGAGGCTCAGGAGCTCATGTGGGTGGGACCCCTGGCGCCGCCTGGTCCCCTGTGGCGCCGGGCTGCGACCCCCTTGCCCGCCTGCCCACATACCCAACTAATACTAATTAAGGACCAGACATCACGATTCCTGGGCAACTTAACTGCCAAGTCCGGGGTCTGCCAAGGGCACCCCGCGGGCCGGGCGGGCATCTGCAGGGTTGGGTCGGGAACGGTGCGCGCGCCCTGGCCCCCCCCAACCAAAGGAACCAAACTTGCACCCACGGCCTCGCCCTCCTCCTCCTCCTCTTCCCAGTGTCCCCGACCTGGTCTTCCGGCTCAGAGGCGCGCGCCAAGTCCAGGGGTTCCAGCCCGGCCACTGTCCTGAGCGCGCGCGCATGCAGGGGACCCCGGCCCGCTGCGCCCACCCTCTCCCCCGGCTCGGTCCCCCGAGACTTGAAACCACTCCTTCCTCCTCCTCCTCCTCCTCTTCGTGTCCCCATCCCGATCTTCCGGACAAGGGGCGCACGCAGAGTCCAGGAACTCCAACCCGGCCACTGTCCTGAGCGCGCGTGCACCCAGATCCAGATCCAGGGGCCCCTGCCCAGTGCGTCCCTCGGGTCCCCTGGGCCTTCTAGCCACGCCCAACACGTCCTCCCAGTGTCCCCGGCTGTGTCTTCGGGCCCAGGGGCGTGATCAGAGCTCCGGGGGTCCAGTCCGGCCACTCTCCTGAGCGCGGGCGCTCATTCGGGGGACCCCCGCCCGCTGAGTCCCCAGGGGTCCCCCGGGACTTGTGACCGCTCCCTCCTCTTCCTCTCAGTGTTCCCAGCTCAGTCTTCCGGCCCAGGGACGCGCGCAGGGCACAGGGGGTCTGGTGCGGCCACTCCCCTGAGCGCGCGTGTATCCAGGGGCCCCCCTGCCCAGTGCGTCCTTCGGGTCCCCTGGGCCTTCTAGCCACGCCCAACACGTCCTCCCAGTGTGCCCGGCTGTGTCTTCCGGCCCAGGGGTGAGATCAAAGCCCGGAGGGTCCAGCCCGGCCACTCTCCTGAGCGCGCGCGCTCATTCCGGGGACCCCTGCCCGCTGAGTCCCCAGGGGTCCCCCGGCACTTGTGACCGCTCCCTCCTCTTCCTCTCAGTGTTCCCAGCTCAGTCTTCCGGCCCAGGGACGCGTGCAGGGCACAGGGGGTCTGGGGCGGCCACTCCCCTGAGCGCGCGCATATCCAGGGGCCCCCTGACCGGTGCGCCCCTCGGGTCCCCTGGGCCTTCTAGCCACGCCCAACACGTCCTCCCAGTGTCCCCGGCTGTGTCTTCGGGCCCAGGGGCGTGATCAGAGCTCAGGGGGTCCAGTCCGGCCACTCCCCTGAGCGCGCGCGTTTCTAGGGGCCCCCAGCCCCGTGCGCCCCTCGGGTCCCCTGGGCCTTCTAGCCACGCCCAACACGTCCTCCCAGTGTCCCCGTTTGTTTCTTCCGGCCTGGGTCCACCCCCCAGGGTGGGTGGGGGTCCAGCCCGGCCCCTCCCCGCTCGCGCACCCCGGGGACCCCCGCCCGGGGCGCCCCGAGGGTGCCACCCCCGGCGCCCAGGTTGCGCGCGCGCGCGCGGCCCCTCCCCGCTGTCCCCGGCCCGGAGGCGGAGCGCGGCGGCCGGACACGCCCGGCGGGGCCCAGCGGGCGTGGACAGCGCGCGCCCCGCCCCCCGCAGTCCCCGGGCCGCCGCGGGATGAGTCGCCGGGAGCCCGCCGACGCGCCAGCGAGTGACCGCGGCCCGGCCTAGCCATTGTCCCCGCCGCCAAGGGGGGCGCCCCTGATGCCGCCGACGCCGCCGCCGCCGCCGCCCGGCCCCGCGCGCCCATGGACGCGGCCGCTGACGTCCAGCCCGGGCCCCGGGACCCGCCCGGGGACGCCGCCGCCGCCGCCGCCGCCGCCGCCGACGGCGCGCCCGGCCCGCCCGCCTACCGCCTGCAGGACCTGGACACGGTGGCCACCGTCGGTGAGTCCGGCGCGCAGACAAAGGAGCCCGCGGGGGACCCTCGCGCGCGCCCACCCCCCACCCCCGGCGCCGGCCCTGCCCGGCGGGCGCGCCCCGAGCCACCCCAGGGTGCCCCCGTGCCACCCGCGCGCGCCCGGGACACCCGCGCCGGGGCCGCGCGTCCCCAAACTTTCCAGAGGGGGCCCGGCGCGTCAAGGAGCGCGCGTGGAGAGGGACCCGCGGGGATGCTGTGCGCCCCGGACCCGCGGCCGGGGTCCACACCCCACCCTGACCCCCACAGGCAGGGTCCAGAGCGCACCCTGACCCACAACCAGGGAGCAAAGTCACCCTGACCCACAACCGGGGGGACCCCTGCCCGCTGCAAAGCCCACCCTGACTCGTAACTAGGCTGCAAAGCCCACCCTGACCCGCAGTCAGGGGGCAAAGCCCACCCTGACCCGCATCCAGGGGGCAAAGCCCACCCTGACCCGCATCCAGGGGGCAAAAGCCTACCCTGACCCCTAACTAGGCTGCAAAGCCCACCCTGACCCGCAGTCAGGGGGCAAAGCCCACCCTGACCCACATCCAGGGGGCAAAGCCCACCCTGACTCCTAACTAGGCTGCAAAGCCCACCCTGACCCGCATCCAGGGGGCAAAGCCCACCCTGACCCACATCCAGGGGCAAAGCCCACCCTGACCCGCATCCAGGGGGCAAAGCCCACCCTGACCCGCATCCAGGGGGCAAAAGCCTACCCTGACCCCTAACTAGGCTGCAAAGGCCACCCTGACCCATAACCAGGGTGCAAAGCCCACCCTGACCCGCAGTCAGGGGGCAAAGCCCACCCTGACCCATATCCAGGGGGCAAAAGCCCACCCTGACTCACAGCCGGTATTTACAATCTCAGAACGTGCAGGAGCCGGGCAGAGGGACTGGCATGGTGTTCCGGGCATGAGGGCACTGGTTGTGAGTGTGTGCGTGCGTGTGTGTTGCTGTGTGTCTGTGTGTTTGTGTGTGTCTGTGTCTCTGTGTGTCTGTGTGTGTTTCTGTGTATTTGTGGGTATCTCTGTGTGTGTCTGTGTCTCTGTGTGCTTGTGTGTGTGTCTGTGTGTGTCTATCTATCTGTGTCTGTTTGTGTGTGTCTGTGTCTCTGTGTGTGTCTGTGTATTTGTGGGTATCTCTGTGTTTGTGTGTGTCTGTGTGTCTGTGTGTCTGTGTATCTCTGTGTTTGTATGTGTCTGTGTCTCTGTGTATTTGTGGATATCAGTGTTTGTGTGTGTCTGTGTGTCTGTGTCTGTGTCTCTGTGTATCTCTGTGTTTGTATGTGTCTGTGTCTCTGTGTGTGTCTGTGTATTTGTGGGTATATCAGTGTTTGTGTGTGTCTGTGTATCTGTTTCTGTGTGCCTGTGTCTCTGTGTATATCCGTGTTTGTGTCTGTGACTCTGTGTGTGTCTGTGTATTTGTAGGTATCTCTGTTTGTGTCTGTGGGTGTGTCTATGTCTCTTTGTGTCTGTGTATCTCTGTGTTTGTGTGTGTCTTTGGGTGAGTCTCTATGTGGGCTTCTATATTTGTGTGTGTCTGTTTGTATGTCTGTCTGTGTCTGTGTGTTTGTGTGTGTGTCTGTGTATTTGTGTGTATCTCTGTGTTTGTGTATCTGTGTGTGTGTCTCTGTGTGTCTGTGTATTTGTGGGTATCTCTGTGTTTGTGTATCTGTGTGTGTCTCTGTGTGTCTGTGTATTTGTGGGTATCTCTGTGTGTGTCTGTGGGTGTGTCTATGTCTCTTGTGTGTCTGTGTATCTCTGTGTTTGTGTGTGTCTGTGGGTGAGTCTCTGTGTGTGCTTGTATATTTGTGTGTATGTAAGTCTGTGTGTGTCTGTGTGTCTATGTATCTGTGTCTGTGTGTCTGTGTATTTGTGGGTATCTCTGTGTGTGTGTGTCTGTGTCTCTGTGTATCTCTGTGTTTGTGTGTGTCTGTGGGTGAGTCTCTGTGTGTGCTTGTATATTTGTGTGTGTCTGTGTGTAAGTCTGTGTGTGTCTGTGTGTTTGTGTGTGTATGTATCTGAGTCTGTGTGTCTGTATATTTGTGGGTATCTCTGTGTGTGTGTCTGTGTCTCTGTGTATCTCTGTTTCTGTGTGTCTGTGTGTGTCTGTGTGTGTCTGTGTCTCTGTGTATCTCTGTGTTTGTGTGTGTCTGTGTGTGTCTGTGTATTTGTGGGTATCTCTGTGTGTCTGTGGGTGTGTCTGTGTCTCTGTTTCTATATTTGTGTGTGTATGTCTGTGTGTGTATGTTTGTGTGTGTGTCTATGT